TGTTCTCCTTGAACGATGTCAGCAGTGTTTACAGACATGAATCTGTGATATTCTTAACCAAGTTAAACGGCTCATCAAGTGACAAAAGTGCATTTAGATCAACTTTACTGGTCTTTGAACAGTCCCATCTACTTCAACACACCGGCAAGAACAGTTGTGAAGGTCAACTTTAAGGAGAAATAGTGGAATCACAGATTGGAAACTACTGTTTTTATAATGTATGACTTTAAATTTACATACTACTTCCATTCCTTCCCCTGAACCCTACTCTTTCCTTGCATGCTGACTACCGGTTAGAAAAACCACAGCTATGGTGTAACGTAAACAAAACTGTGAAACCTCCAAAACCACATCTGAATAAAATTTCCTTCTTGCAGTCCTATCCATCTGCTCCTCCAGCTCTGACACTTGAAATGACAAAGGAAAAACCAAGCCTTTCAGGAGAACTACAGCAAAACTTCACTCCTAACAGAATCTCAAGAGGACGATTTTCATCTGAATGAGTATTTTGCTAATTCCAGCTGACAGCAGATCTCACTTATTCAAACATGTTTAGACACAAAATAAACTTAAAAAAAAAAAAAAGATAGACTCAAAAGCAAATCCTGAAGTTTAAACAATTCCCAATATTTTTTTGGATCATAACCAAAGTCACATGCCAGAGCTGAATGGCTATTCTGGGGAGTGCCTGATATTCACTCTTCTCTTGTTAAACTAAGAGGGTCTAATTGTTGCAGGAGACAATACATCACTTGTATTACTCATTCCAATTGCTTCTTCTTTGGAAGCCTTGTAATTCAGAATCTCAGCACCTCTTCTGGTGATGTACTAGGTTAATGCTTGAATACCTCCATTGATTTTATGAATTTTGGATTTAAGCCAATGAGTTTGGCTCATTTTATCCTTTAATCCAGTGAACTTTTGTGCATATGATCTGAACTATGTATAACACGCAAGTCTCCAAAAACTCTGATACAAAAAGTAAGTCCTTACTCACACTGTATTTTCAGGCACAGAAATGAGTATAATCAGAGGCAAGACGGAGAGTGCCATAGTGAAGGAAGACTACAGCAAGGGTCAGGGCAAAGGGAATTATTCTGAGAGAGATCCTGATGGTAAACTTCTCCTTATACTAGTTATGCAGGCATGTAATGACCCTTGTGGCTGCTGAAATGCATAACTTATGTTATTCCAGAAAATCTGTGGGTCATATGCGCAAAAATATGGTAATTGAAACAGTCCTGGCTTCCCCACAGCTGCAGGAGCCTCTGCCAACTATGGAAACTTCCATTAGCTTTCCTGACATCACAGGCCAACATTTATATAAATCTCTCAAGGGGAAAAAAAAGAAGATATAAAATAGAATGTTTAACCTATTGACTTTATGAACTATTTCAGCTGAAATGCCAAGAAATGAATTATACAAGTATCTACAGTATCATTCTCTTAAGGCTCAAATTTAGGGGTAGGGCTTTACAGAATCTGTGTGTGAGCGTAATACCCAAAATGTCTGCCTCGGCCTCACATCACCCTTAAAACAGTGGTAGAGGTTTTATTTTACTGAATAACTAGAAGTGGATGATGGACAGAACACAGGGAAAGGTCACCATTGGAAAAAAAAAACAACACAAAAAACCAAACCCCCAGAACCCCCACAAAACAAAAGAACAAACATTATGCTAAAACCTGCATGGGATCTGTACCATGTTTTCATCACAAAGAACATCCAATTTAAGGAGAAACTTTTGTGCTACTTTTGCAGAAACTTACAACAATAAGTATTTGTTAACAGATGTACAGCTCCTTTGGCTCCATGCAAGTCACAGCAAGATCAAAGTCTTGCACACATTATGATTTGCAAGCACTGAGGTAGAAGAAAGGGAAAAGTAGGAAGGAACTGTATTCTATTCTTCTCCTGTATTTGCATTGATGGCAATGGATTTGTGGAGCTTGGCAAAAGTACTATATTCATAAACCTTGGTTTTCTTACCCAGAAATATTGCCCCCCCAAAGGCAGATAAAAGTAAACATTAAACTTGCTGCTTCAGTGATGTGTAGCATGACCATCTTGCTTTGTAAGTTTTTGAAGTGAGAAAGGGAAGTGATTTTGACTCTCTAACAAGGACACTGTAACTAATTATATCTTCTTTTCAAACATGCAAATTAAATCCTTACATTTTAGCAGTCTATGCGCAAATCTAATCAAAGCCAACTCAGCAGGACTTCTCTGTTCAACCCTTTCCTCGTATTTCTAGTGCATCACTCAGAGCGTTCTGAAGCTACAGTCACTTCATAGTTATTCAGTCTGTTGCTGACAGGAAGAGGCACAACACTGTAAACCAAACACGAGACACTAAATGGGAGCTCTGGGCCATGGTAATCCCATTTTAAAACAAGACAGACTCGTCCAGGTGAAATGGTACACTGAGTACTTCTCAGCTGATGTATGTAGAGTGCATGAGGTTCATGGTCTTCAGTCACTAACCTTTTATTTACTAGGTTATTGGTCTGTATTTTCCAGAATAAAACCCAGTGATTTTGCAATGAAACTTTAATTGCTACTAAACTAAGTTTTCACTTTGGCATAGGGATTTAGTAGCACTAAATACTGAAGGAAGATACAGGAATAAAGAGTAAAGGATTTATAACAGAATGTATTGATCCAATTATTTTCCTGCCTTAAAATGCATGTGCTCATAAACACTCCAGCAGATATCACACTTGGAATAGTGGAGACTTAGTGTGGGTTAAAGTCCTGTTGCAGTTCCTCATTCTTAAATTCGCAAAAGACAAACACATGATTTGTAAAATCCTGCACTTGTAAAACTGACAGATATAAAAATTTCAAGCTATACAGTAAATATGCAGAACTTCAATTGATTTTCTGAGTTGTTTTTTTAGAGTTACTGTAGTTTACCTTTGATCACCGCGGCACTAGGGGAAAGGATTTAATGACATTACTTTCTACTGCAAAATCCATCATGCTCCTCAATATTTAAACCCTGTGCTGTTATTAAGGACTAAGGAGAATATTCATCACCAAAATACAGATTTACGTTGACATGCAAATCCTCAAGCACAATGAGCGATTGAGATGTTAAAAACAAATATGAGGTAAAACTATTCAAAAAGCAGGTACCTGGGCAGTGCAACAGGTAAGGAACTGTTTCCCACAAGGGAAAGAAGTTCTACATCCTTTTAAAAGCACAAAAAGTGAGTCAGCAGTGAAAGACTGACACAACAGTCTGAACAGGAACTCATTCCCACCTGAATTACTTAGTATAAATCATCACTTGTTATGCCTTTAACTCAGCAGCTTCATGCAGGGATTGGTGGGCAGGTAACAGCCTGTGACCATTCTTCCAGGAAAAAACATTAGCAAACTGCAACTTGAGGAAACCTAGCTTCAGAATCAACAGTTGTCATGGTTCATCAAATCTGTATAAACCAAATGCAACATCTAAACCATTAACTACCAGTCACAATCAGTTCTGAGAAATACGCTGTCTGACAGAAAAGTTCATTATCCACGAACTCAGAAGCAAAAGAGCAACTTAAGTAAAATTTGACCATCGACCTCTTGTTCAAGGTTATTTCTTTTCTCTGTCATGCTGTGGTGTTTTGTTACATCTTAGTTGTCTACCACTTCTTGGGACTTTGTTGAATCAGAAAGCCACATTTACAGTATCTTTCACACATTCCTCAATCCAAACGACTTTTTTTTTTCTGAATAATTTTTTATGTTGGCTCAAGAAAAGAGTTAATCCAAGGAATCATTCACAATTTTTTTATTCTTTTCCTTTCCACTGACAGCCTCAGAGAGAAGAGAATATGTCATGTACCTGCTGCCCTGCAGGACATGTAATGTGCCACAGGCAGGTCTCATGTTACAGTGGAAGATGACTAAATTTTTCAGTTTAACATTGCCCTCACTGTTCAGTATTTCCTTGATATCTAATCAGTCTTGATCCTTTCTCCTTATGCACCTTTCATGAACTGAACAGGTCTAATCATCTTTTCACTGGTTTCTGGACAGATTTGGTCTCCCTGACAGAACTGGATTCTGGCCTCTAACATTTGTCACATTGCCTTAAAATCTGTATCAATAGCCAAATTTGGCTTAACAAAGCTGTAAAGCAAGGAACCCATTAACCTTTTCTGAACTCTCTAATGCAAAGGTCCCTCTCTCTTCCCAAACATGAAATAGAACAAAACCTGTTTTTATAAAAGACGATTCAGGTGAAATCTCAAAATCTTCTTTTAAAATATAACCCTGTCATGTTATACTCCTACAGTCTCACCACTTTTCCCTCTCTCTCTCTCTCTCTGCGTTTTTCCTATTGTTGGTCAGATGTCCTGGTTTCCTATTTATTTTGGTGGGGAGTATCTATAGGTTAGATTGTCACTTCACAATCTGTCTGCTGGGAGTCACAGAAGATCTCTGACCTACCTCATATTAGTATCCTAATTAGCTTTAGGTCCTCTACTGCCTCTGAAAGGATGATGAGCACTAGCCAAGGATAGGGAGAAGACTCACTCAAGCACAGAGAATGCAGTTAAAAGCAGACATACTTTCATAGGAAAAAGTAATCTACTCTTTTTGGGTCTTTAATTTTAGGAATTGCCTTTAAGCAGTACAGGTATAACATTTTTGGTCAGAAAAATTATTTTCTGAAGGGCATGTTTCAAAATACAATGGTTGTATTTTGTACAGCAGCAATCATCACAAAATGCTATTCTCCACAGCATCAGTGTACACAGGAATCACAAAGGAATAATAGAAGTCTAGCTGACAAAACACTGTCTGTAAAAAAGCAAAAATGTTTCTCCTCAAGCAAGATTCATATACTAATCCTATCAATACCTGTCTGTGTACTTAACTTTATGCACAGAGTCAATGCATATTAAAGTTTAGTATGTGAACAGAGTTGGAAGGAGGAGAAGTAAAATATGTATGCAAATATCATTTTGGTTTGCATTGTACTGTTACTTGAACCTACCTTTTCCTTGATATTTACAGGAGAATTGATTTCTGCCATCTCTCTTCAGGTGAGAATACTGTCTGTGAAACGAGAGAAAAACACAGAGATTCATTTAGAGGTTTCAGCCCCAACATGTCAAAACTACACCTATAAAGTCTAATTGCACATGCTTACCTATAAGCACTAGAGAAACATGAGAACACTTAATGCCCTGCACAGTAGTGCTCAATCTTGCTGAAAAGTAAAGCTAGTCCAGATTTCATACTTTCCCAAATTAGTTTTGCAAACACATTTTAAAAATGCCTCACAGTTCTGAATCTGGATAGAAGGCATATCGTGCTTCTCCCAGTCATGTCTCTTGGACCTGATTCATTATTACTTGATAACTCTGAGGTTTTAAAGAGGAGGAATACCCTGGATAAACTCAACAGCTTCTGTTTTCCTATTCACCAGCATCGTCAATTTTTGCCAGAAAATTTGTCAACCGATCCAGTCTTAAAAAGCAGCTAAATGTGCCAGGAGGTTGGGCTGACAAGTGCTGCATGGCTGTTCGTTGGCTGGAGTTTTTTTTCCAAAACTAATTCAGAGGATTTAGTCACACAGCTTCTACTGAAACTAACAGGGTCTGTAGAGTTAAATCTCGTAAGTCTGCTCTGAAAACTTGGGCACATGAATGGAATTTGCATGTGATTAAGAAACACTGCAATATACTTTCTATTTCCAGTTATGTGGCTGAGTGAGTGAGAGAAGCTCTTCCACACGGTGAAAAGGTAACACAGGGAAAGGAGTCCAGTTGTCTAATCCTGCTTTCATCAAAACCAAGTGCCTTAAACTTCTGTAAGGAACAGGCTTCAATCTTCACATTTTAAAAATAAGTCACACAAAGAATTACAGCAAAGACTAAGTCAAATAGAATAAAAGTTTGGTTTGGTCACCACTATTACAGTACACTGATAAAAAAGTACAGATGTACATATATGTGAATGAACTCTTAGTCCATTCCAAGTTTTTACGTGGAAATGCCTCCTTCTTTTCCCCATTTGAGCATTTGCTATGTGGACTGATACATACCTTCCAAAAATTCTTCTAAATCTCTTTTAATGCACTTAAACAATCCTCCCTTAATTCCTTCTTTGAAACACAAAACTTCAGTGGAGTTCAAACTCCAGAAATTAAGCACTTCTCTTACAGTATCCATTGACAGCATTTAAATCTTGTAATTTATTTCTGTATGCATCCATGTTCTAACTATACAGACGAGATTCAAGGAAATATATTTTCAAAAATTTTCGAAAACAGGTTGTTCCTGTGATAAACGGGGAGGAGATAATAGGAAGAAGAAAAAGAAATTAATTTGAGTTTTTGTCTGATGAACAGCAGACACTAAACTACAGAATCCCTCAAAAAATAAGGTGCCAAAAGAAAAAAGTTACTATTTCCATTCCCAGCTACTAAAAAAACATGCTTGAAATGAGTAAGGTCGCTCGTGCCATCTCCATTTTACTATATCATGAACAGATACTGTATTAGAACTCAAATAACTTTTACCTGTCTTTAGTCAGAGGCCCAAACACTTTGCCAAGACACTGAGCTGGAGACTCACTATGTTTGATACGACTTCTTCCTGGCAACTGAGCCACTGTGCCGCTCTGAATGCCTTCCAGTCTGCTGGTACCTCAGACCAGGAGGTTCCCCTCCCTGCCCCTCTTTACATCAAGAATGAAACAGCTCAAATTAGCTTTTTTGTCAAACCCACCCAAAGGCTAAAAGCAGAGTTTAAAATGTCTGGACAGAGCAGGGAGGAAGATCACAGGAATATAAGACTGGGACAATTCCATTTCCAATATTTAGTGAGTTCCAACACTAAAGGAAGGTGTTAAGAAATGACTGTAGCCTGTAGCCCCTATATAACATTTTTTTAATGTACTTCTTGTCTTTTGCTGTCAGCTATTCCTCATGCCAAATGGACAAAGAACATGAGATATAGCTAATCAAATTTCCCATCCAGACTGGAAAGGTCGGCTCTGAAATTGCTCTGTAAATCTTCATCTCCCTTACTGTTGTTCATAAAAGCATGCCTTCTACCTAAGGACATCAAACCCATGCTGGACTGGTCCTATTCTCTGCTTAACAGATAACTGTATGTTAAGGAACAGTTAAGAAATTCAATTAGTTTGCCCTTGTAGTTAGTACTGAGCAGCTTTTGTAATGTTAGAGATGGAAGCCTACCCTCTCCCATACCAATTCAAATACACTTATCTGATCCAGCACCTTATAACAACATTAAAAGAAGACCAGTAAAAACACACAACACAGAAACAAGTTCAATAAGAATTATGGCTAACAAAAAACCTCTAGCCTTAGAAGTCCATTAATCTATAAAAAACAATAAATAATGGGAAAAGATCTTGGTCCCTTTAAATCCTCAGAGTCTACTTTTTCAGCATATATTTTACCAATTTTGTACCAAAACTGTATATTTTAAAACTGTATCTTGTACAAAGCAAATTAATCAAAATAATGGTATTTTGTGAAAGCCCCACACCTCTTAATTTATGTTTCTTCAGAGATACCAGCTAAATAATTCTTCAAATGTAAAATCATTTTGCTGATTAAACCCTAATACAGCATTTAGCCCATTTTACTCTTTGTAGCAATGCTCTGACTCAGTTTAAAACCAGACATAAAAACTTCATTCAACACCTTGCCAGATTTGACTTGCCATTTCTTTACTGTACACTGCAGGTGTTACTGTGATTATAGCCTTCCACCAATAAATGTGGTGCTGATTCAGCTAGTTTGCAACTTCAAGCTGTTTCAAGAAGACCTGGCATGCCACACATAACATGCCCTCAGTTTCTTTCTTCCTTTCTTTCTCTCTTTTTTCTTTTCCTCTTAAGATAAAGAACAAAAAGACTTATTCCTCTACACTTCACACTCTTCATTAATATGCATATTACAGCTGTCAAAATGAAGATGCTAAAACTGAGTTGGAGCTATTTTTCATTCACCTTCTCCAAGGACAGATAATTGAAATAACATGCATAAAACACTTGCTCGTTTATATAACTCAGTCCAGCACTGCTTGTTACATAAAATACAGATGATACATTAAAAGGAAAATGTCAGTGCAGCACTAATTTTTAAAAACATCCTTTATGGCTATACTTAATAGTCAATAAACTTAATTTTCTCATTGTAGCATAAACTGATTTATTGACTTAACTAGTATTTTTCCTTTGATGGTATTTTAATCTCTGTATTGAACAATTACTTCATTTCTAATCCTGTGACAAAAGATTGTAGCACATCAATAATTTTACAAACAAAATAGTCCCACTGAAGTTTACAAGCTTTATCTCCAGGCTAGGATCTAAATTTGAGTTGCTACATTCTCATCCTGAACTCGTCAGAGAAGCTTCTTTCTGTCTGAATTGTGGAACATCAAAACACAGCCCTCAACTGAGCCCTAAAGGCAAGGGACAACAGTACTTTGCGTGTCACCAACAGCATGCACACAAAGGAATGTTTGGAAAAAGATCTTTGACACAATATTTTCTGCAGTGGCCAAGATTAAGCTAACACCAGCACTAATTTAAATGCACAAAACATACTGTATATATGAGAGGTTCTCAGCTTGAATGTCAGCTTTCTTGCTTGTATTTGTGCTCCTGAAATGTCACTGCATATCATGCCAATAGGACTTCCAAGAAAAAGGAATAAAAAAAAAAAACCAACAAAACCAAAAACCCAACCAAACTACAAAAGCCCTTATATAAATGGGTCATTAATTTCTGATACAAATTTCCAAATGCATTACCTGGAACAGGAGATCACTCTCACGTTTCTTGTTACATCCTGACCTCACATACTGACAAAAGCGTATTTTTTCTATATCTAATACACACATCCAAAGGAGACATTTTACTTGCCTTGTAAAATGAAGCATTTCAGTAGCATTCAAAGAAATGCTGCAGAGAAGACTGGATTAGTTTTGGCAGTGTTTTACTTCTCCCCCCTACCAAATGAAGCAATTCATATTACTCCATGTAGGTTTAAGCTAACACAAACCTGAACCAGGGCATCCAAGGTGCTGGCACATGCTCTGTCCTGCTGACCTTAACTGCGAGCAGCAACATCCAGCAGGGCAGACAGACAGAAACAGCCTTTAACCACTGCAGAAAAATATGCTAGAGCTCACCTGCCACAGCCTTCATTATATGGCTGCTTGCCCAGCCTTTACAGAAGTTTCCTTTCTGTCTCCAAGCAGCTCTAAAAATCCCTCTGCTTCTGTACTCAAGTTCCAGAGAATGCCTGCCACCTTCCTAATAGTACCACCTTTGGAGGTTTTTGGCCCACAGACACCTTCCAGCTACACAGGTCTTCAGGTAAAGTTGACAAACACCCAGTTTATACAGCATTTTGCATGGGTGGGATTGCCTGCATCTAAAGAAGCAAAGAATCACAAGAACAACTCCGAGTCCTACTCCTACTGCAAAACCAGGCACATTTAAATTTCAGACTTCAAAACTGTATCAGAGAGAAGAAACATGCTCCCCTTCTAACAAACTAACAAATCTCCTTGCAAATACACAGAGGGGGAAAGGAGTTTATGAAAGCATAAAGATTGCCAGAAAGATACGATTTGTGAAAATATCCTGTCAGTAAGTTCTATCAGAGTGGAGACTGTGTGTGACACCTGTTCCACCATTTCTGACATCTGAAGATGCAATGAGGAACAGAAAATTCCCCATGAAACAGCACACAATAGTCTGGTGTTGGAAAGATTTCCCAGCTGTGGGTTTATGGATGAATAGTTTCCTACACCCCAAAAAATGACATAGTTCCTCATCTGCCCACTTCAACTGCTTCCTTTTATAAGGTAGTCCCAACCCAGCACAGTAAGAATCCCATGTCTAACTGACAGCAACCTTGCCAGTGCTTCTCTAACCCCAGCCACCGAGTAAGCTTTCTCTGCTAACAGAGCAACTATAGTTTACAACTTTGCCACTCAAATTTGTTCATGAAGTAGAACAGTGCTAGAATGTGGATTTGAATAAATTATCTTTAATTAAAAATG